AGCGACGAACGTCTCTCGAATCGCGTAAATGGATGCGAAACGGTAATTAAAAGATTTCGAAATGTATACTTGTATGTTTTTTTTTAAGCATATTTATTAAGGTTATTAAAGTCTATGTAAATTCTGGACATATTAAAAAATTAATAAATAAATTCTAAACACATTGGACGAATTTAAAAATATGGGTTTTTGTTGAAATCGGTTGTTTATTTTTAATTATGACATATTGTCTGCGATAATTTATACGGTAGAATAGTTGAAGACAGAATATTTTACCCTTTGCACTCGAAGCCAAATCAACGGAAAATTGAAAATAGTTCTTCTGACCCACGGTAGATTTCCATTTTATATAACATAATGCATTTTGAATTTATTTTCATATGCTATTGTGACTCGTGCAACAGTTCGACATGACATTTTTTAATGGCATCGCGAAATCGCCACTCGAGTGCAAAAGGTCAAGATACGTCGGTATTTCCCATTGTCTGATCACAGACGCTCCTATTCTACTTGCTCCGCCGTGGGTGTGCCCTCATTCTACTTGTTCGATTAAACGCGAAAATGAACCGTATCGCTAAATCTATCACTAAATAAATCTATCAGTAAATAAATCTACCACTAAAGAAATATATCGCTAAAGAAATATATCGATAATAAACATATCACCGAGTTACCGTAACTTCGCCTAAACAAATTTTAAACGATCTTTAACAATTTCAACAAAAAGGAAAGATAGAGAGAAAGAGAGAGAGAGATATCAACCAGAAAGTTCTTTCTTTCTTTAATAATCTAAGTAATCTCTTTCCAAAGTACTTTTAATATTTATACGGTTTCTAATCTTAATTACCAACTTTTTCGTCATAAATGTAAATGAGCCGTTTATTTTGAAAGTCAATATATTTAAGGGCTTGCGTTTTAACACGTTTAAAAACATGGATGCTAACTTTCGAGAAGATTTACTTGTATTTGTTATCTCAGGATACTGATATTTTTCTCAGTATAAATAATTTCGTATAAACATCAAAATAAACGGCTCAAATAAAAATCCGCGATCTACCGATAAATGCTAGCCCCGTTTCATCATAAAACGGAATGGAAAATAGTACCTTCTTCTTCTCCTCTTGCATTTCACATAATTCCAACATCGCTTCCATCAATCAACCGATGTAACCACATCTAATTTAAATATCCGTGAAAAACATTTTCATTCGAACCTGCTTGGCGTTACGGCGTTTCGATTTTTTAAATAACGGTCGCATCGGATCCGGACTGGAAACAGTTGTATTTTCGTAGGATTCGGCTGAAATGGGAAAACTATTCTGATATACGAAGGCGCGCGAAGACGGCGCGCGGGAAAGTCGAGGAAAACCGGCATCCGCGGGATGCAACATACGGTTCGCATACTCGAAATGGAAAAGTTCACGCGTCCCCGAGTGGCTGAGACTTTCGCGCGTGTAAAATAGCAGCGAGCGAAATCTGGAAGTGTATTACCACCGTCCCCCGTCTTACCGGTTCGGTACGCGGAACACGAAGCCCGCGAAGTATCGCATAACTTTTCAACTCTAGACAAGAGAAGATTTGCCGGGTACGGCTTCGGGAAACGGCGGGACGCCAATAATCATCGCACGTTCTTCGTTTGCGCGCGGCGACGCTCCAAACAATGGTAAATAAGTATCCTCCGCTGTGCTGGCCGTGCGGCCAGAATGTGGACTACGCTAAAGACGTTAGGGCATTACGGTCCGGGCCGAGTTCTTTGGAAACTTTGATCCCTCTGCTTATTCTAGTTACGAACTCGACTGTTTCTTTGGATCTTTGTTTTTTCGCGGGAGAGATAGAGAGAGAGAGAGAAAGAGAGAGAGGGAGAGACTTGCACGAGATCAGAGGAGATTTCGGCGAAGAGACCGTGTATTACCGGATAGCAAAGTTTCACTGTAATCACTGCGTCAGTAGTTCTGTGCAGTAATGCTCGGAAGCGGTTGCTTAATTGGCAATAAGATCCATGGTAAACACAGTGAATGTTTAACCAGTTAGCTGTGTGGCGGCTCCTTTTCAGAGAGCGCACCTATATGCGTCGCGAGGATCATCAAGCGATGACGAGTATACTCGTCGAACACAGAGTAAGTAAGTCGCTGTTAAAATATTGCATCGAAAGGACGGTTTTATTTTATATATTAACAATTTTATTGCCAGTATTTGCTTATTCGCTCAACATTAATGTATACTCAAGAATCAAATACTTGTGAAAGTTGAAAATTTAAATTGCTGCTGTAGAGTGGAATTCAGCGAAGCAAGGAACGATACCGTGATCCTTTTCTAATCTTATTTTTATAACAATGTTAAACACTTTTATGTTGGATCGGCCTAAAAATGTTCTAAACATCTTGAAATTTGAGTATACGTTTCTGTTTTCACTAAAATTACGATTTAGATAGCCAATGGTCACTGCTTTTTACGCGCGACGAGTATAGATAGAATACGATAGAACTTTCTTTATCCGGGCTAAGCAAGGTGACACGGACGTTCGGATAACGGAACAGTTACTTAATTACAGTATCAGATATCATTTTCATCGACGTTGAACCTACCGATCACTAGAGACGTCTGTCACGCGTTGCTTCGCGAGAATTACGAGACTGAATTTATTCGGTCGTCTCGCTGTTTCTATTGTAATCTGTAACGGAGAATTATTAACGAGTTATAAAGACACTTTTCAACCTCGAGAATTTTAAAATGAAAAACGTGGAACCGGTCATTTCGACTAGTACGATAGGTTTAACCCTTCGCACTCTAAGCGATTTTAACTCGAAATCTAA